ATTTCTGGTTCTATCCATGTTGCTGCAAATAATAGGGTATCTTTTTTCTTTTTTCTTTTTTTTTTTCAATAGCTGAATAGTATGACATTGTATGTATATACCACAACTTTTTATCAATTAATCCCTTGATGGACATTTAGGTTGATTCCATCTCTTGGTTATTGTAAATAGTGTTGCAGTGAACATGAGAGTGCAGGTGTCTTTTGAGTGTATCGATTTTATTTCCTTTGGGTATATATCCTGTAGTGGGATAGCTGAGTTGTAAGGCAGATCTATTTTTAGTTCTCTGAGGAACCTTCCTACTGTTTTCCAAAATGGCTGTACCAATTTACATTCCCACCAACAATGTAGGAGAGTCGGCTTTTCTCTGCTTCCTCACCAGCATTTATTTTCTGTCTTGATAATAGCTGTTCTAACTGGTGTGACATCATATCTCCTTGTGGCTTTAATTTTCATTTCCCTGATGATTAGTGATTTTGAGCATTTTTTTACCTGCCTGTTCCATTTGCATGTCTTTTGAGAAATGTCTGTTCAGGACCTTTACCTACTTTTTAATTGGGTTATTTATTTATTTTTGCTGTTCAGTTGTTTGAGTTCCTTATATATTCTCAATATTAACCCCTTGTCCACTGTGTAGTTTGCAAGCACTTTCTCGAGATCATTCTGTAGGTTGTCTCTTCTCTTGGTTGATTGTGTCCCTTGCTTTACAGAAGCTCTTTAGTTTGATGTAGTCTCATTTGTGTATTTCTGTTTTAGTAGCCTGTGCCTTTGTATTATTCAAAAAAAGTACTGCCTGACTTACTTCCCTTAACATTATGGTTTCTGGTTCTGTCCACGTTGCTGCAAATAATAGGGTATCTTTTTTCTTTTTTTTCCAATAGCTGAATAGTATGACATTGTATGTATGTACCACAACTTTTTATCAATTAATTCCTCNGATGTAGTCTCATTTGTGTATTTCTGTTTTAGTAGCCTGTGCCTTTGTATTATTCAAAAAAAGTACTGCCTGACTTACTTCCCTTAACATTATGGTTTCTGGTTCTGTCCACGTTGCTGCAAATAATAGGGTATCTTTTTTCTTTTTTTTCCAATAGCTGAATAGTATGACATTGTATGTATGTACCACAACTTTTTATCAATTAATTCCTCGATGGACATTTTATGTAGCATTTTCCCTATGTTTTCTTCTGGTAGTTTCATAGTTTTGGGTCTTACATTTAGGTCTCTAATCCACTTCAAGTCGATTTTTGTGTATGGTGAGAGATAGGGGTCTAGTTTCAGTCTTCTGCATGAGGATATCCTGTTTTCCCAGCACCATTTATTGGAGAGGTTGTCCTTTCCCCACTGTATATTCTTGGTGCTTTTGTTGAAAATCAGTTGGCTGTGAGAATGTGGGTTTGTTTCTGGGCTCTCTATTCTGTTCCATTCGTCTATTTGTCTATTTTATGCCTGTACCATGCTCTTTTGGTTATGATGGCTTTATAGTTTATTTTGAAGTCAGGAAGTGTGATGCCTCCAACATTGTTCTTCCTGTTCAAGATTCCGTTAGTTATACAAGGTGTTTTGTGGTTCCACACAAATTTTAAGGCACTTTTTTCTATTTCTGTGAAGAAAATTGTTGGTATTTTGATATGTGTATTGTTGAATGTAGATTGCTTTAGGTAATATAGACATTTTCATGATGTTAGTTCTTCCAACCCATGAACATGGGGTATCTTTCCATTTATATGTGTCCTCTTCAATTTTTTTCACCAATGTTTTATAGTTTTTGTTGTAGGGTTCTTTCACCTCCTTGGCTAATTTACTCCTAGGTATTTCATTTTTTGGTAGTTATTGTGAATGGGATTACTGGCTTGATATCTTCTTCATCTATTTAGTTATTACTATATAGGAAGGCTATTGATTTTTGTGTGTTAATTTTGTATCCTGCCACTGTACTGAATTTATTCATTATTTCTAGTAATTTTTTGGTGGAGTCTTTAGGGTTTTCTATATCCGTGATCATGTCACCTGCAAAAAGAGATAGTTTGACTTCCTCTTTTCTGACTTGGATGCCCTTTGTTGCTTTCTCTTGCCTTATTGCACTGATTAGACTTTCCAGTGCTATG